ACTAGGGAAATATTACAAAGCTATTCSCTATCTTTTGTCTGAAATTACCGGCGACCCTATTCCCGAGGTTTCTGATATGACAAAAGCCGAGTGGATGTTTTGTCGGCCGAATAAGGATATTCCTTATTACCCTGACGTAATTTACGAAATATTTTACAAAATAGACCCCAACCACCCCCTGTTGGGATGGATTCCAAGAAGATAAAAATGCAAAACTGGCGTTGCCAGAAACCCCACTGGGGAATGCATCGCGCAGAACACCAAGCTATCCCCAGTGGGGTTTTTTGCATTTTGGGCTTACGAGGCTTATTTCATCCCGCGCCAGAGGCCCTCTAGTACACACATATATTTTTCTTGAATTGCATTTTTTATCTTTTTTTACGGTTGCTGTAAGTGGGGGAGGCTTTTTTTTCACTCACAGCAACCGGTCCAAATGTGTCTGCAGCGAGGCTTGAACTCGGGACTCTGGGCCTCCCCAGATCCAAAGTCCGCGATCACAAGCGAACGCCAGACACACAGGACGCTTACGTATGTGAAAATTATTATATTTAAGCTGCATAATTTCTAGACTGACGTTCGATATGTAAATAGAATCCTGTCACGATATTTACTGAGCGAGTTTTCTTTGAAGCTCTTCTTTCGCTTCTTGGTAGATCTTTTTGCGAGATTCCTCGGAAAGATCTTTTACGACTGTTTTTTTGTTCCTTATGTCCGACTTTAATTTCTCGTATTTGTCTCCTTCGGCTAAGATAAGCGAGAATTCTACGTCGTCTATCTTTCTGTCACGCAAAGCCTTTGAGACAAGATCGGTAATTGTATTTACTTTAGCCCTTGACAGAGCTATTGTCGTGTCGTGCTTGGATATTTTGCTTGACAACTKTTTCATAATGCCCGTAGCAACAGCAGAAACGATACCACAGGCTGCCCCAACGCCGGCCAAAGGAACTCCAACGATTATTCCGGGTCCGGTAAGCGAAGTAGCAACGCCGGAGCCCGTTAACACRACGGATATGGACCCYGAAGTTATCGAAATTTTATGTAGCGTACTCCGGGCTCTAACGTATTTCTTCCTAACTTTTTCGTAGTGTTTTGTTTGCCCTTCCAAGTAAGCCAGGATTAMGTTTGCTTTGTTAAGTCTGAAGTTTTCGGCGTTTAGTTCGTTAGGTTCCTTAGGAAGTTCAGGATAAAGTGGAGGTGCTGATGGTATAACATCCATTATATATACTAATGTACGACGCTTTTGGGAATGATATTGAGGAGCAGCCACATCATGACAACAGGGATTATGCGAATTGGAGAGCATTTAGGAAGATGTTTCCACA